GTTTCAAGCAGTTATTCCACACAAAAAAAAAAACTTTACGACTAGGATTGCAAGAAAGTGAACATTGGTATTCTTAATAGATAGAGTGAGCAACCAAACGAGCTTTACATCATTCAGCGCAAATTTAGCTGCATCTGATAGGATATAAGATTTGACTGATTGAAATACTGACAAAGCCTCCATATAGTCCTCTTTATTTTAATGTCGCATGTTTAAGCAGACGAGAGTAGAGGAAGACAATCGAGGGTGAGCAATAGGCGATAGTAAAAAGGAATAGCAAACGAGCAGCGAACCATTTGGTTTTGTTCACTCAAGTATAGCAGTTGGGGACCACAAATATTAAAAATGCTGGAGACGTCTCCAGCATTTTTAATATTTTTGAATGCCACTGACAAAATTTTGATACTAAACTAACAACTATTGAATCCTAAAATAAATAAAGGACACTAGCATAGTGTTAGATCTCTTCGAATTTTTTCTAAGAAATTATACTGGAAAGGTACGAGAAATGATTCTATCCTATGAGTAAGGTATTGATATGCCACTGGTTGATCCTATCCTATCATAGGGAGTAGACCATAATCAACAGTACGAAATCAATTGAAAGACAAATTCGGAGCCAAAACTTTCCAAATGGATATGACAGATCTCAGAATCCTTGAGACCAGAAGATTTTGGAGATTCACTCTAACTCTTTAGCCTTAGACAAAGATGCAACAAATCTAAGAATAGCTGAAGAGAGCTTGGCATAGCTCGACTCAATGCTGAAAAGGAGGACTCTCCCAGGGTAAAATTCGAAAAATCAGAGATCATCAAAGCACAGAAAGACTAATGAGCTGATCCAGAATTGAAGGGAAAACTAATCCTAATAGTAATTAGAAATCTAAGTTAACCGATATTGGTATGAATCTATTACGAAATGGTATCTAATTATGTTGTTTTGATAGATTCTGAAAATATTATGGATATACCAAGAACCATCAGAAGAACAGCGAGAAGTAAAACAAAGAAATGAAAATGGACAAGACAAAAGACAAATCATATTGGTACTAACCGCATCAGACATGTCGCAATGGAGCTTAGTAACAGAATCTCCACGCCCATATTCTTGAGCAAATCCATATGCAACGTAAGTCTTGGGCCCCATGTCTGGCTTCAAGCAATTATCAGGCAATTTGACAGCGATATTCAAAGGTCCACTACGCGGGTGAGTGTACTGCTTCAAAGGCAAACTGCATAAGAACTCCTCACAGTGACGTGGCAAGTTTTCTTTGAAGGTCTTAGATGGAGGCCAATCTTTCAGTTTCAGAATGTGTGGCCAACCCTTGCGATCAAACCGGCCCTTTGTGTAACCCAAGAAAAACTCATGAAGATTAACCGTTCCCTGCATCCATTACAAGTCATTAGATAAAGAAGCACATAGCGTTACTAATTTGAAGAACAACAAATGATCCATATTGTGCCTATTGAGCTTTTCAGTAGTTTCTTTCCAACCCTTTACTGAAACATTAAAATGTCATAAAAAGAAACTGAAACATCAACCCAGAAGAAACGTTAAAACAATTTAGATTAACTAGACCAGAAAAAAAAATGCTGCCATGCAAGTACCAGAAACATCAAAATTAAGTACTCCACGGGTGTAAAAAACATACTACACCTAAATTAAGAACCATAGACATATGCCATACAATTTGTTGAGGAGAAAACTGACCTCGCAGCAGTCCAGACAATCGGTGGCATTAACTTCAAGAAGTGATTCATGTTTGGTGTTGGTTATCTGACGGCAGCCACGATACATTACCATGGGTTCCCAGCTTAAACCAGATGTAGCCGAAAGCACATCCTTCACAATTACAGGCTCACCTTTTACCCAATGATGCTGGAAATGCTTCAGATCATCTTGTTGAACATCTTTAACATTTGGACAGTATAGAAAGTTGTCTTCTGACCCTTCTCTACAAGCAGCCTTTAACGATTTACTGTAGTCCATGTCAATATGACCTTCAGAGTTAAAACAAGGGCATCGCTCCATAGCCATTTCAGGTAAATCCAAAAGCATATTGGCTTCATTAGCTTCTTCTACTCTCTTGACCAAATTAGATACCATACCATCAGGAAGCATGCGTTTCAACTTTAACTCCCCAGCACCACAATAACAAGTAATGATGCCAGCTTCATTGGCTTTCCACCCAGATGGGTGCTTCTTACTGTCTTTGCTATTCAACTTATCATCCGTCATATCAACTTTTTTTCCTCGTCCTCCATGTAAATACTCAAAACCTCGGTTGATAAAATTCCAAGACACATCCTCGTGACATGTCTGAAGCTTTCCTTTCCGGATCTCGAGGCAACATATAAGGCACATATCAGAACCACAGCTCGAGCATCTTCTATGAAGATCAAAGATTGCAGTCTGGCAGTTGTCACTGTAAGCCCAAAGAGTTTAACCAAGAAAGATTACTAACATAACAACTCGCCATATTCATTGAGACAGAAGTGTCAGGGTGATTTACCAGTATACTCTTTCATCCTTGGGACATTTAGCATTTTGGGGCTTCACCTTTTCCAAGTCCAATCCTGTGACATTAAAGAGTATGAAGGATATCATCTTATTCCCTGAATTAATCAGCTTACAAATTCCCACTTTAAGAAATGAATACATTCACTTTGAGATTTAGTTTGGAATAAATGCAGGTATATTAAACAGTATAATGTTATACATACTTAAAGAGGTAATGGCATGAGAATGCAAACAAAAAAAAAGTGAAGGGGCTTCATTTATGTAAAGTACCTGAGATCTCTGCCTCAACTTTTTTCTCAGCAATTTGGTCATTATCTATCTCCTTCAGATGTGGGAGAAGCTTCTGTAAAATATATTTCGAGCATTGAATTTTTTCATCCTTGCTGACCTTCAGGTCTGAATTTATACCCTACATACCATTGGAGTAGTTATTAGTCCAGGAACTTATTAAAAAAAACAACAACAAAACAAGATATGGTAGATACACGAAAACTTACTTCCATTTTCGTGTCCAGCCGCAGGCAAGATCTGCAATTGCAAGTATTCCAGCAGAATGGGCACTTCTCAGCAATCTTGGCTTCTTCTTTGATGTGGGGGTACCTATAAATAGCAATTAAACAAGTGTTTCAGGCTTCTTGCAAAATCAATCCCGCACAAAACTACAATATAGAAAGCTACTTATTAAATCACTATCCCCGAATAATGAAACAATACACAGGCATCAACAGGAACTAATGCTCAAAAGCTACACCTCTGTCTTGATTCTGTCCAAAAATTACAAAGTTTTGCAGAACTAAACCATCCAGAAGAACCACTAAAACTCTAAAACATCACTTTATATATCCCACAAAAGGAAGTCAGTAGCAAAGAAACCAGAACAATTGCTAAATGTAATTGGTAAGAAGAGCATACCACGTGTTTAAGCAAGGGATGCAGTAACGCTTCCTTTTGCAATTCAGACAACGCACAACACGACCTTTATCGTTGCGTTGACACTGGTGACACATATTGGACTCCCAGTTGTCACCATTATCCTGAATAAACCCAAAATTACTGGATTAGACTGTATGTAAACCTACCTATCACTGATAAGCAAAACGAGAGAGATCACTAACCTTCTGGATTTGATTGTCTTTATCGCCATTCACAACAACAGTACTCATTTGCTTCTTGTTTAGCGTTACTGGAACCTCAGAATCGTTTTCTTCTTTCTTCTTTCGCTTAGCCTTACTACCCGAGGCTTCACCAGTGGTAGTAGCAGAGGCTCTCTTCCTTTTTGAAGGACCAGCAGCAGT